AAAAGAGACCGTAAAAGCCGTTGTTGATCCTTGTCAATTCGCTTCTTCGCGAGCCTTTCGATCTTCTTCTGCTTTCTTTTTGTCCTTGCGCAAGAATCGGAAAGTGACAAAGGAGAGCATGAGGTCTTTGTAAGCCTAAAGAGTTTGCTGCTAAGCGCGTATACTGCTTTTATGAATGCCTTACCTTGATGAAAAACATTGAAATCATGGGTGAAAGCAGAGGAACAAGTGAGATGCAGTACGCTGGGAAAAACTCTTGCCATACTCTAGAAAGCTCAGGTCTAATTGTGGTAGATTCAAATAAATTCACTCGTTTAGGCTTGAGGATGAAACATTAGTGCATTTAGTAGATACAGTACTCAAAGTAGCGGGTAGACAATCTTCCTTTGTGTTCTCGTTTCGTCGTTCATTTCTATTTTCATGCAACCCACGTGGCTGCGTCACTATATGCTGAACGAGTACTGTATTTTCCGTAAAATGACATCTTTATCAATAATAGCCGCTCCACATCTTTGCATCCAGAGTTGCCTAAGCGATCGATCATAAGCGCGTTTAGCCTTTTTTAACACGGCGCTGGAACGGCTTGGAACGATGCAGGCACAGGTCGGCACACTGGTAACCCTAGACGCTGGTTTACCACTAACACGATGCCAGTTCAACTAAGGCCCGTATGTACTAAGTCTCTGCGGCGAGGGGAGCGACATCCCCAATAATGAAGTCGCAGGGAAGTACGCGCGGCCTCCTCATAACGGAGGAGGCCCTTTCGTCTCCCCAATGATGTTAGTGCATACTGGCCTAAGAAAGAAATCTAGGGAGACCTTCGGTATCGCTCATTGCAATCTTGGGCTTTGCTGTTTCATTGCCCTTGTTATCGCCATAACAAAGTACAACTAGGGATTATTACAAATCACTTACAAACTATTCTCGTAGAAAGTAGATAGCACCGCATTGGCTGCAAGTGGCAGCGCAAATATAAGTGGCAAGAAAGCATCAGCGAAGATAGCATGAACGAGGGCTTCGTTAGCAACGAAGGTATCGAGTGACATTGTTCCCTGTAACGTTCCATATAACCTGGCTCTGCAAACCGCAAAAATGGATTGTTTGATTTCAACTTTTCCGTACAAAGCCGAGGGCAGTAATGGTGTATGACAAATTCATAAGGCAAACTTCACTGTCTGCGTAAATCAAGCATCCTTTTGCGGCACCACATTTATTCGTAAAGAACGAATATCACGCTAATACTCTTGAGTGCTTTCTTTGGGCCAAGTATAAACTGCTTCTCCAAATTTTAGAACCGTCTTTGTATGGCAAACTCGAAATTTTGAAACCGTCTTTTTATGGGCAAGCTAAAAAAACTTTCGAAGGTGGCGGACCCAAATGGTTGCGGTATAGCAGAGTGAGTTTCTTCTCTGAATCTATAAGCTGAATGACCCAAAGGGTTCGTTCACCCAACTCCTTTTTTCGGATCCAAAAATGACAACAAAACGATCCTAAGCATATAGGAGTCCTATGATTCGTCGTCTCTAAATGTTTCAAGACAGCATTCTTTGGTTAAAAAATCTTTCGAAGCCCACCGTCAAGCTGCTTTTTCCGTAATTTTTGCTGAGGCTCGCCGAAGTGTTTTCTGCAGACAATTACCTGTTTTTGCTTGAGTGTACTCATCATAAAATGAGCGGAAATCAGAATGACAATATAGGATATCGCATGTGACACAACAGCAATTCCATAGAAATACAAAATGAGCGGATTTTTAGTGTAGTCTTCTCCAGTCAAAGCCAAATGTTTCTGCAACAGGAAAATTGAAAAAAACGAACTTAGTGAAAATCAAATATATGATGTGATAGGCAGACCCTGAAATCCTCAGCCACAAGAATCACTCCAGAGACATTGTGATGTGTAGCCGGAGTTGT